GACCTCTTTGGAGTCTCTACACGACCTCTTTAGGGACTAAGTGACCTCATTCTGGGATCCCAACTGGGGTCACTTTGAAGGTCCTGGTTGGCAGGTTCATAGTTGAGTCAAAATCATTGGCCTACATGTCTTTCCTGGCATCTGTCTTTTCACAGGCTTTTCTCCTGCAATGCGATGTCATCTACCACGCTGCTCAGCGCTGAAATCGGATCTGTTCGTCTATTATCGAGTCACCAGGACGGACCAGGCATCGCCACATGTGACCACCCTAAGAGTAAAGCTGCTAGAACCACTTGTTGTCCTTAATGTGTGTGGGATCCAGTGGGAATTTGCTAGGGCAAAGCAACAAAACAACCTGTCTTCCTTTTTGCAGCCTCTCAACGATTCCTTCGTCTTCCGTCTTCCTCTGAAAATCGCAGCGAAACGGCCGAGACTTTCCTTAGAACTTCTTGTTCCAAGAGGGGAGATGCCATCCTGGAATCGAAACGAAGGACAAGGACGAAGGACAAGAACAGGTGCAAGATCTGGGCACCAATTCACAAGAAATAGGAGGTCATCCCCAAAGATATCTGGTCCATTGGCACCCTGGGGGAGGAAACAAAACACATCTTTCTTGACCATCTGACTGACCATATTATGCTATCCTTACCCCCCCGGCACTTTCGGGATAGGTCCGGGCAGCAGCGGCCACAAATTCCGTGTAGTCGATGGTACCTAGTCGATGGTGCAGTGACCGTGAGGATCAGAATCGGCAACTTTGGTGGGGATGTTGCTTGGCCGCTGATGGGATCTCTCACCAGCTCCAATTCACCAGAGTTTCCTCAGATTCCTTGTTCCTTACCTGCAGGACTACCTGCAGGGCAGTATTTACATTAACAAAATTTAGTGTATATATAATATAAAAAACATCTATAATATATCTAATAATCTATTCATAAATATGTTAATATCGAGATATATCGAGTTATTTGCTATGAGGGGTAGACTTAACTAACTTTGTTGTGTAATTGAATGGCACACCTCTAGATTCCTTCTCAAGTCAGCAAGATCTGTCTAAATGCTCCAGGGCCACCAAGGGAAGCCTGGTGGAAAGCCTTGGAGGCACCGCACATCTACCGGACGGATGCCCGGTGCCATGCCAAACAACACATTTTGGCCATTTCGACAAAAACCAACGACATATCATGGAATGATGATGATGATGATGATGATGATGATGATGATGATGATGATGATG